ATGCTGTAGCGTGTTCAGTGCACTCGGGTTCCTCACGTTGATTGCCAAAATATTCTTCCTCGTGTTTATCCTGATGTCCTTAATCTCGTTAGGCACAATGTTTTCAAGGTACAAGGACTGTGCTTGCCTGTTGAGGAAGCATAGATTGGCAGTAGTAGTCTGCGGCACAAACAGAATGGAGTGAGGCCATCGCTGAGGCGCTGTCCTCACAGTGGCTGTACTTGAGGCCGATGATGCGTTCATGATTCTTCGTTTGGCCTTGCGGTAGAGCACAGGTTCGAAGCCATCTTCCGAGGACTCGTAGTCTGATGCAGAGTACAGCTTGGTGTCCTCGCTCTCACTAGATAGATTACCACGCTCTCTTGAAGCAATGCCCGTAGATGAACTGGTACTGGGCGGGATCTCCAGGGATTGTACATCCATGACCACAATGTAGGGGGCTGGAGACCCCGCTGTTGCGCTGTGGAACGCAGAAAATACAGCACATACTGCAAGATGTGTTCCACAAGAGAATCCAAAACGACGCATAACACCAAATGTTGCCTAGCGCTTCTTTATCATTAAGTCGTGTGGCAGCATTGAACACGGCGGATGGCTTTCCGCTTGTCGCTCACTGGCCGTTCCCAGTCAAAAAAGAGTGGGCGTTTAGCAGTCCCGTACAAGATACAACGTGACCTGGAGATAAAAAAAATAGGCCTTCAAGCAGACAAGGGCGGCATACTGTAAGGTTTGCAGGCGTGACTCAGGAACGTACGGGAACTGAGTCACGCCTTTGTGCGCCACGATAATGGCACTCGCGTTCGAAGCGAACAGAATCAGGCTTTCAGAGCACCCACAACGCTGCAGCGGCTTCCGAGTTCTTGTGCAAGGAACAGTTGCTTGTTACCCGGAATGCGACCGAACGAGCTTCCCTGGTGAGGCGTGCCAACTTGATACTTTAACGCGAGAGCGTTAAAAAAGCTCGTTTCGCAGAAAGGCTGGCGTCAGCGTCGCTGATTGTGAGTGAAAAATCATCATCGTGTGCGTGACGAAAAAATTGAGAAAGATGTAAATAAAACAAATTAAAAAATGCATGTTCGAGTGAGTCTCGAACCCGGATCGCTTGTGTGGCAAGCAGGTGGTCTACCACACAGCCCTGCGTCAGCTTGGGAATACAGAGTAAATGATTTCCGCTGCTTGAAAATGCAGCGAAAGTAACATTTATGGTTTGGTTGATTGATATGTGGGGTTTGACGTCCCCAAACCACCTTATGATTATAAGAGACGCCGTCGTGGAGGGCTCCGGAAATTTCGACCACCTGGGGTTCTTTAACGTGCACCCAAATCTGAGCACACGGGCCTACAACCTTTCCGCCTTCATCAGAAATGCAGACAACGCAGCCGGGATTTGATCCCGCGACCTGCGGGTCAGCAGCCGAGTACCTTAGCCACTGGACCACCGCAGTGGGGCTAACATTTATGGTTTACACACACACACACATGTACTGTATGCTGCTTCACAATACAAGGTGGAATATCGGAATAATAATGCGTGGTACAAGCATTCGTTGCCATTGGTAGTTAGACTATGTGATTGTCAAAATGACTTCATGGTTTAAAGCCCGCCACCCAACAAAAGGTTCACATGTTACTGCACGCATTCCCTTAAAAACACGTAGTGGGTGCACAACAAGCTCGAAAAAATATCAATTGCCGCTGGTTGAAAACATGCATTTCACAGAATGCGGCCATATGTGAAAGCTTCGCTGGCCCTAGCCACTTTATAGATTACACAGTAATAATAAAACTTGAACTATTGCAGTAGCTTCACGCAATAAAAAAGTATGCACTAAGTGTTTGAAGGACGAACTTAGGGCAGGACATCCCTATGGCGTTCAACTCTTATAGGGGAAGTTTAGGTTCCACCACTTCTTTCGCAGAGGTTTGCTCTCTTTTCCCAAATTTCATCTCCATAGTGAAAAGTTGAACGCCAAATAAGATGATATGCGTTATAATCAAAGCTACAATGAGAATATCGCAAAGGCAAGTTATGTGAAGCGAAAGTCGCGGGATAACAATCAAAAGCGCGAAACATTCTTCACACGCTGGCACTGTAGCAGCGGAGAAGTCTGTGTTGGGCCTGTTGGTACATCATCATCATCCTCATCATCATGACTACCCACACTGCAGGGCAAAGTCATGGTCATGGTCTTTTCCATGATCCGTAAACCCAGGCCAGTGCTTTCTGCGAACTTTCTAATCTCATCAACCACATAATTTTCTGCCTCCATCTCGTGCGTTTCCCTTCTCTGATAATCCAGTCAGTGACCGTTAATGAGTAGCAGTTGATTGATTTCAACGATGATATCCCTTGCAACGGTTTGTTTCCGGACCCACTGTGCTCTCTTCTTGTCTCTTAAGGCTACACCTATAATTTTCCTTTCCATCGCTCACTGTGCCGTCCTCAATTTAAGCTGAACCCTCTTCACATAGGTTGGAAAATCGAAGAACCCGGCCTTCAAAGAAACGTTCATAAGAAGAGAACTTTTACGACCACGCACGCTGAGACTAGCAGGAGTTCATTGAAATAAAAAAATTGCCGGAAAAGAAAACTGAGACGCACATGCGCAATACATGATAACGTATAGAAGCGAGAGCTGTCGGCATGTGACGAACGACTTGAGACGCACCAAAAGCAAAAATATGGGCTCGACGTTTATGTAGTACCTTACTTATAGTTTTCACGAAAAGTGGTGACGCTTTTACAGAAACGTAACTGAAGGTGCCATGAAATGAGTTTTTTTGTATTCTATATTTTTATTGTCTGGGTTTTCACGTCCAAAATGCTATCATGATTATGAGAGTCGCCGCTAGTGGAGGGGTTCCGGGAATTTTGACCAACTGGTGTTCTTTAACGTGCACTGACATGCACGCGGGCGTCTACCACTTCACCTCCTTCGAAACACGACCTCCGCAACCTCTTGTGTCAGCAGCCGAACACCGTATAGCCACTGTTCCACCGACAGCGGACGCACTTTTTATCTGCATGTTTTTTTTTAAATGCGTGGGGGTTTCGGTTGTGGTTCCTACCACTCTCACCTCTACGTTAACATGTATGGCGCATGTGCATCTTGGTGTTGCTTTTGAGTATCTGTTATTTCGTGAAAGTCTTGCTGGTTCCCAGCGTGTGCGATCGATCGTCAAACTTCTCTTCTCGTGTGCGTATAGGGTTCGGTTCGTAAATTTTTCTAACCATGAAGCAGTGCGTCTCTGTGTATTTGCGTGCCGTGAATACTTGTTTTTATGTCTCCTAGTGTATCAATTCATGGCTCCACGACAGAAACAAGAAAATCGAATTTTTAGAAAGGGCAACTTTGGTACATCTCTAATAAAAAAAGAAAAAAGCTGGTGCCTAACTTTGTTGTGTTAGTGACTGCAATATTTCGCTATTGTTTCGCTATGATTTCTGGTTGACGTCCTTGCCTTTCTCTCACTTTATTCTCTTTGCCTGTCCATATTGTTTCACACACATAAAAATTAAAAACAAACAAACAAACAAACAAACAAAAAAAGAATAGTTAAAAATTCAAGAGTGATCCCGCACAGTGAAGGGGAAGGACCAGTGAAGATATGTAGGACACAGTACAAAGCAAACAGGCAATTTTGATTAATTGCAAAGGAATCCACAGAATTCGCATCAAAGGTGCGAATCCTCTTGAATTTCGAAACTTTCAAGCATTTCCACATCGATTTACGTCGGCCTGAAGTGCAATGCACAGGCCATTTCTTAATAAGTTAACTTAATTACTTCGTCTGTTTGTTTTTCTGAACCAGTGGTGTGTATTCGGGTTCGACCCATATCTGTGGCACAAATCTGCTTTCTGGTTTCCTGTTGGCAGGGTTACTGCTTGCGCAGTAATGAACGGCCTAAATATATTATGTACAAAACCACTGTAAATCCCCAACTAGAACACAATTAACTATTTTCAGTGTACTCAGAGCAAGACATGAAGTCATTCACGAGTACGGAATCAGACTATACAAAGCTTGCAGAACAGCCGACTCTGGCACGAAATTAAGCAACCGCCTCATTTCAACGCGTGCCCGTTATGACTTCATATCTAGCACCCTTCTTACTAACCGCGAAAAGCAAGAACAACTCTCCAGCCATTGTGCGTGCTACGCTCTCGTTCTTTACCACGTGTAGGAACTCAATTAAAAAATGTAATTGTCGTCATCGTTAGCCTGTCTACGTCCACTGCAGGACAAAGGCCTCTCCCATGTTCCGCCAGTCAACTCGGTCCTGTGCTTGCTGCTGCCATTTTATGCCCACAAACTTCTTAATCTCATCTGCCCACCTAACCTTTCTGTCTCCCCCTAACCCTCTTGCCTTCTCTGGGAATCCAGTTAGTTACCCTTAATGACCAGCGATTCATCCTTGTCTACGCGCAACATGCCCGGCCCATGCCCATTTCTTATTCTTGATATCAACTATGATACCCTTAACCCCGGTTTGTTCCCTGATCCACTCTTCTCTCTGCTTGTCTTTTAAGGTTACACCTACAATTTTTCTTTTCATTGATAAAACAATGTATCTTAGTGCAAAGCGGCCACGGTAACAATTAGACGAATAGTATCTGGGGTTTTACGAGAATGAGAGACGCCGTAGTGCAGGGCTCGGAGAATTTTCGACCATCCAGTGTTTTTTAACGTGCACTGACGTCCCAAAGTACACGTATCTCTACCAGTTCTCCCTCCGACCCCCCCTCCCTCCGAAATTCGACCCAAATGACCGGGCTCGAACACACTACCTTCGGGTCAACAGCTGAGCACCGTTGCCACTGATCCACCGTCGCAGACGATGAGTCCACGAATGTTCGCGTTCGTTTTAATGGGCCCCAGAGAGCCGACTCACTTGTTCGTTTCGTATTGAAATTTGTTCTACATGGGCCAGTGACGTGTCGTCATTGTGAAAGAGCGAAATGCCACTTCTTACTCTTGCCTGTCCTGATCTATCGCAGGAGTGCACGGGCTCTATCTGCATCGCGTACGGCCTGCAGTCGTGCCAGTGCAAGCGCAGGCCGCACGACCCCGTGACCAAGGCCTGCGAGTTGTGCTGCCGCCTGCCCGGGGATGATTCCACCTGCAAGTGAGCGATGACTGCTTGGTTTCTTGCCCTCTCGCAAAACAGTTCGAGAGGTCGACGAAAATGTGTTCAGTTGGAAGCTGCTCGTATTGTCACGTTTAAAGGTCCCCGAAAGGTTACTCTGTCGCTTGCCGAACGTGTTATTTTTCTTTACCTGCAATCTTCCCTGTCCCACTTAACCTAGTAGTAAAAACCTCAACTACGTAGTTGTGTAAGAGTAATTTTTTGTATTTACTACACCGGTACCCGGAACACTGGAATCATCTGTGTTTTTATGAAAAAGTACTCAAACCGCTGTAAAGACTTCATGACTGTTGGGAAGTCGCACCAGCGAGTCTCTACAGTCGCTTTACTACACACTATAAGGACTTTCTGCGCCGTTTCAAATCTTTCCCACTGCCATCCATTGTCTCAAGTGTGCCACTTGGTGCCTTACTAAATGAATCTGCCTCAAGATTGGAAATCGTTAGTTTTCCCGTGTGTTCGCCACTGCCGGATTTTGATTCTATGAGTTGTGCTTCGCTCAAGAAGAAAACTACTTTTATTTACCCTGTTTAAGGAGCCATAGTAAGATGACTGCTCAGTGTCTAAGAACAGATTGCTTACGAATCACCTGTTGCAAACAAGAAAACAAAAGCTGGCCTATGAAAAGACTAAAGCAGAGCCACCGTATAAGTAGGTAGAGAACATTTTTTTTATTTATCACAATCACGAAAGGAGCTCACGGTAATCTATGTTGACCCTAGACCACTCTTTGTATGTATATTTTTTGTTAATAGGCTGTGCTTGAATGACCTCGTGATTTCAGGAAGATTTCTTGGGGGGAATAATAAGGAGCATTCTACCTTAAATACTTGGCATGTTATGCTTACGATAGCTTTTAGCGCGAAATAATCACGAGAGACACTCTCTTACTTCACGCTAAATGCTACCGTATGAATGAACCAACTCGCCCAACAAGTCACTCTATTGAAATACATCACTTGTTCTTTGGGCTCTTCTTCAGTGTTTATGCCAGTCTATCGTGTGTTTTTGCGCCTAAAAGCTACCGCAAGAATGAACAAACTTGCCCAACCAGTCACTCTACTGTAGCATGTTATGGTAGCCCAATAAATGTGGATAAAAAACACACCTTTTTACGTGTGGTAGCTATCAAAACACTCTTCTAGCGTGAATAATTTTTTTCCCATTTTCACAACGGCAGGTGTTTGCAAACAAGAGCTCCTAACCACACTCTCACTGTTCCCTTGTATGATTACAGAGCGGTAAAAAGATATGGCCTATAAGGTTTTAAGGGTGCTCCGGCAGTTAAAGTTTTTCAAGCCAATAAGAAACCATGGAAGACATTTTACCATTGGCTTGCTTCATGCCAATTCGCTGGCGTGCTATGCATTGTCGAAATGAACTAGAGAGTCGTCTTGAGCTTCTTGTGTAGTCCGCCCCGATTCCGTTTTAGTGAACACTCTATGCACTACTGCTGCATTTTACTGCCAGAAAACGAGAAAAATGCTGCATTTTAATCTGACAGTGGCATATCTTGCACAGGCAAGGAGCTGCTGAAATGCCTTCACAGTGTTTATGATAATTTTATTGCAGTAAATATTACGCCTCGTAACTGGAGAGATGGGTAACTCATTGTTTCAAAGAACCTATGTTTATGGTGGGGATGGTTATGTATCGTCTGATAGAAGTTTTATATTTAAACAACGCAATCATCCATTGCACTCCGTAGGGTCTAAAGGATTGCGCTTTAAAACACCCGCACAGACGTACGCGCACTATCTTAGCACTCAGTGGACTATAAAAAAACAAAAAAAACCAAAAAAAACATGCCGATGCTCATTCACTTTTTGTTTTAGGAAGCCAGATCAAGCCACTGCATAATACGAGCGTATAGAATTAGTTTAACGTAGAGCTCTGGCTTCTTCTGGAAGTTCACACACGGCTCTCATCTCTTAGAGAAGACCCCTCTTTTCCTCGCTGCGCGCGCCAACGACCGATAGCAACAGAGGCCTACACGGTGCAGCTTGCATAACTCAAGCATGAAGGGGGCGGCAGTTCTTCTTCCTCTTGAGCGCACCGTTCTTCGAGGCGCACACTTGTCCGTTATCAGATCGACGACGCCGTGCCCTAAAGTGCACTTTGGGTTGGGCGTGTTCGCTCTCACGTTGATTTTGGCTGTTTCTCAGAGCCCCATATACGGCGCACACGTGGACATATAGTAGCGTTCTTCATTAATCACAAAACACTTACTCGGCAACCTTCAGCGACCACCAAGCACTAAGTAAACGTACGATGCCTTTACTCAAGGTCAACGCATTGAAAAAGAAACAACAACAAAAAAATTGGCAGATCCCACGGACAGTGGGAATCGATGATATGCGAAGCACGAATGAGAAAGGTTGATATGCCACTTTAAAATCAGCACAACGTTACGAGGTGGAGGGTAAATGATGCCGTACATGACTTCCGTGTCAGGATTATATGTTTGAATGTGTCGCTTACCTTCGTCATCTGTTCCCGTTATGTGATACCAAATTTAGTATATGTGAAGCTAGCGAAACGGTCGCGAGCACGCTATGAGCGTGGTATGTTGTCATGTTCTTATATGACATGCGTGTCAGGATTATATGTTTGCACAAGTCATATACTTCGTCATCCGTTGACGTCACGTAACGCCAAATTTGGTATATGTGCAGCTACCAAACGGCTGCGAGCACACCATGAAGGGCCCAATATACTCTAATGTAGCGTTGACGCGCCCGCCCACCCTGGGCACAGCGACGCTACGTTAGCAAAACGCGAGCACTCTACAGTCTGACGCCAGGCGTGACCAGCATCCATCGACGCGGCCCGACGGCAACCGGCGCGAAATGCGACATTCTGCATTTAGCGCCGATGCCTTACCCAGACAACACTGCTTCGCCCTCTTTACGTGACGGATGGACGTGAGGCGCGCTGAAACGCGCATGCATCAAACCAACGCAGTGCGGCGCACGCCTGCGAGTAAATGGCAGGACCGACGCCTGGCTTGACAACGCCGGCGTGACGCGACGAAATGAACTCCGGCGAGCACGCGCACCGCGTCACGTCGAAATGTATTGGTGCCTTGACTGTGACATGTAGTCATGTTCTCACATGATGCAAATCTCATGATTATCATGTTTGCAACAGTCCCATACGTTTGCCATCCATTGACGTCACGTAATACCAGGTTTGGCAAATATGAAGCTAGCGAAACGGCCGTGAGCGCTACATGAGTGTGGCGTGTAGTCATGTTGTTGCATGACACACATGCCGTGATTATCATGTTTGGATGTGTCGTTTACCTATGTTGTTCGTTCGCGTTGCGTAATACCAAGTTTGGTACATGTGAAGCTAGTGAAACGGCCGGGAGTGCATCATGAGCGTAACATGTAGTCATGTTGTTACATGACACTCATCTCATGTTTATCATGTTTGCACCAGTATCATACCTTTGTCATCCATTCACAAACCGTAATACCAGATTTGGTATAAGTGAAGCTAGCGATACGTCCACCAGCGCATCAGGGGCGTGGCATGTAGTCATGTTGCTACATGACACGCATCTCATGATTATCATGTTTGCACCTGTCACATACCTTCGTCATCCATTCACGTACCATAATACCAAATTTAGTATATGTGGAGCTAGCGAAATGGCCGCGAGCACGCTATGAGCGTGGTATGTTATCATGATCTTACAGGACATGCGTGTCAGGATTATATGTTTGCTCAAGTCATAGACTTCGTCAACCATTGACGTCACGTAACACCAAATTTGGTATATGTGGAGCTAGCAAAACGGCCGCGAGCGCATCATGAAGGGCCCAATATACGCCAATGTAGTGTTGACCAGCGCCCACGCTGGGCACAGCGACGCTACGTTAGCAAAACGCGAGCACTCTATAGTCTGACGTCAAGCGCGACCGGCGCGACCAGCGTCCATCGGCCCGGCCCGACGGCGACCGGCGCGAAATGCGACATTCTACATTTCACGCCGATGCGTTACCCAGACAACACTGTTCTCCCTCTTTACGTGACGGATGGACGTGAGGCGCGCTGAAACGCGCATGCATCAAACCAACGCAATGCGGAGCGCGCCTGCGAGTAAATGGAAGGACCGACGCCTGGCTTGGCAACGCCGGAGTGACGCGACGAAATGAACTCCGGCGAGCACGCGCACCGCGTCACGTCGAAATGTATTGGTGCCTTGACTGTGACATGTAGTCATGTTCTCACATGATGCAAATCTCATGATTATCATGTTTGCACCAGTCCCATACGTTTGTCATCCATTGACGTCACGTAATACCAGATTTGGCAAATATGAAGCTAGCGAAACGGCCGTGAGCGCTACATGAGTGTGGCGTGTAGTCATGTTGTTGCACGACACACATGCCGTGATTATCATGTTTGGATGTGTCGTTTACCTATATTGTTCGTTCGCGTTGCGTAATACCAAGTTTGGTACATGTGAAGCTAGTGAAACGGCCGGGAGTGCATCATGAGCGTAACATGTAGTCATGTTGTTACATGACACTCATCTCATGTTTATCATGTTTGCACCAGTATCATACCTTTGTCATCCATTCACAAACCGTAATACCAGATTTGGTATATAAGTGAAGCTAGCGATACGTCCACCAGCGCATCAGGGGCGTGGCATGTAGTCATGTTGCTACATGACACGCATCTCATGATTATCATGTTTGCACCTGTCACATACCTTCGTCATCCATTCACGTACCATAATACCAAATTTGGTATATGTGGTGCTAGAGAAACGGCAAAGAACGTGTCGTGAGCGTGGCACGTATTCATGCTGTTACATGACACGCATCTCATGATTATCATGTTTGCACCAGTCACATACCTTAGTCATCTATTCAAGTACCGTAATACTAAATTTGGTATATGTGGCGCTAGCGAAACGGCCGTGAGCACATCATGAGCGTGGCATGTAATCATGTTGTTACATG